TTTCCCAATTTTGGGAAATAACCTTCAGTTGATTTATACCAGGAGTGAAAACCACAACCTGCTTGATCATATTCTAACAAAACCTTAGATCATGATATTCTTCAATGGGTGGTTACTCTCAAGGGGATCTGGAACCCACATTCCGTTCTATTTGGGACTTATCAACCAGCAATCCTTAGTGAGTGATATTGTTCCCACTAAGACTCAAACACAGAAGTGTTATCCTCCAGACCACTTGGGACATAAGAGCCACCTCTTGTTTAAAGGGCATTATTATTATTGTTTCCTTGAGTTCCTAGAGGAACACAACTCCATTGCGTCCGTTTCTTCCCCAACGTTCTCATCTTGCTTCACGTCTGCCCATTTGCTTACATCTCCTCTTCGCACGACCTGCTCCTCCTCCACGCCATCCTCGCAATGACGACCAACTGACTCACTGCTTTCCATTCGGGTCCCACTAGAACACTGGCCTGGTGTGCGATTTCACTTGATGGTTTCTTTTCTCAAGGTATGGCCAATCCACCTCCATTTCTTCTTGCGTATTTGTTGCACAATCAGTTCCTGCTGAGTTGGTTCGCTCCCAGAGATCCCTGTTGCTCATCTTTTCTGGCCATTTGATCCTGAGTATTGAGCAAAGACAGCTAGCTATTAATGAAGGTCTGTAGTTTCTCGAAGTGCTCTTCATGACGCACCAAGTCTCTGATCCGTATAGTAGCACTGACTGACTTCACATTGGAGTTGAAAATCTGGATCTTATTTTTCACGCTGAGTGCTGAGTGTTGACGTCTACACAGACTTGAGAGTAATGAAAGCTTGTCTTGCTTTCCCTATCTTTGCTTTGATATCCTCGTCAGTTCCGCCTGTAAATGAAGTGATGCTTCCCAAGTAGGTAGGTATGTAAAGGTGATTGCTTCTTTCAGATTTCTCGCATTTATGCAGATAGTTGTCTGCTGTTGCTGCTATTGGTGTTGAGCAGGAATCTTCATCACCTCTGTTTTTACTATGTTCACCTGAAGTCCATCCTATATTTGATGCTTCTTCTGACAACTTGTTGCTTTTCACTTGCATATCTTCTAGTTTGTGGGAAATCAGACATATATCATTGGCGAAGTCCAGATCCTTCAAGTTTTTAGTGAGAGTCCATCTTATGCCTGTTTCCTCACAGCTCACTGTCTATTGCACTATCCAGTCTACGACCCTCGATCAGGAAAATCATTTGGGTTAGTAAGCAGCCTTGCCTCACTCCCCTCTTTATTTCAAAGGATTCCGTGAGTTTGCCCTCGTGGATTACTCGCATGCAGCATTATCCTACAACTGTTTGATAAGGTGTATAATAACTGGCGACACGCCATAGTAGCGAAGTAGTTTTCAAATCATCTGTTGAAGGCTTTTTCAAAGTCAACGAAGTTGAGATAGAGAGCTGACTGCTATTCCAAACTATGTTCAATGATGATCCGTAGAGTGGAGATTGGATCGATGCATGACTTGTTTCTCCTGAATCCAGCCTGTTCTGATCACAATTTTTCATCCAGGGCGTGTTTGATTCTCTCCAGGATGATAGGATGGACAGCAACATAGTGCAGCGGCAGATCTTGCATTGTCTAAAGTCTCCTTTCTTTGGCAGCTTGAATAAGTACCCTTTCTTCCAATCCGCGACTACCTTGCCTTCTTTCCACAACTTCTGTGATAGTGGTGTCATCTGTTTAAAGTGTGTCAGTTATTATTTGTGTAAAGTAATTCTGATTTTCCTGTCAATAGGCCGGTTCGAAATATTTGGCGTCTTTTAATATGCAAGTTCCTTCGAAATCAACGTAGGGTCCGTATTAGTAGTCGAAATGTCAACAAAAAATGAAGATTTCAGGTAAACCAATCAAGGAGAAAAAACATTGATTTGAAAAACTCAAATAAGTTGACATATACAATAAAACTGCAACTCTACACATCATCATCATTGGTCAAAGCATAGAGTAGTAATCAAATCTCGCCCTACCTCAGCTTCTTCATCGACTTTAAAAAGGTCTTTGACAGTGATTAACCGCATAATAATTTTGAAATCACTGCAAGACTATGCCATTCACAAAACCTTTATCCTCCTCAATAGGCACTTATATGATAATGCTGCATTTCAACTGACTCACAATGAAGTCTATGCGTTGGTGGCATAGCGGTTAGGACGCTCACCGATCATGCACATGGTCCAGGGTTTGATCCCCCGCCGACGCACTCCTAAACCTCGCTAAGCCAGAAATAATGCTGGTAAAGAAGAAAGTTTGGGCATGGGGCTAGCACACCCACCCTCTAAAATTGAACACTGCTACAGAAACTTCATGCCACTAGCTTGAAGCCGTGTGATCCATTGGGGAACGTGAATTAAAAAAAACAATGAAATCTAAACAAGGTGTTTGACGTGAAGACACGAATAAGCCAAAGCTGTCTGCTTTCACTCAGTGTGATATTCCTAACTGTACAGGACTGCATTCACACTACCACTACAAGAAGAAACAGACCCCACAGAAGAATCCAAAACACAAGGAGAAACAAACGACACCCGTCGGACGACAAGCACAACGCCATTTTCTTCCGCACTGAACTACAGCATTCAAAAGATTCCGAATCAGAAGTGGACTCTGCAGCTGCAAGCTTCTTCTTCTGCACAGACTGAGGCGTTGTCGACAACAGCTTACCAGTTGCAACAACAGGCTTCTTCACTGCACCAACACCTACATCATCATTGGAATCTGAATCGAAACTCGATGACGCTGGCTTTCCAACCACCTTCTTACCACCAACCATGCTCAGTACAGGCTTACCAACTACCGCAGAGATGCCTTCACTATCTCGGGTTTCTTACTCACTGGCCGCTCATCGTCACTAGAGTCGGAATCATCACGGGACGATACGCGGGTGTTCGACCAAAGCTCTTTTATAGTCTACGCGAGCGAAGTTTTAGTGTGGTGAGAGCAGGCTGCTAGCCGATTGGTTGGCACTAATCTACGTTAAGGTCTAGGTCACTAATATGGGCCGTGAACAAGCCTGAGTCAACAACCAATCACAGCAAAGTTAACGTGGCAAAATATGATTCGCAGAGAGAACTCTATTTGTCAAGGAATCCCGAAACAACCAATCAGAAGCCTGCGTTTGTCTACCTAAACAACCAATCAGATGACTGCGCTTGTCTATAATAATGTAGTTGAAAGATGTATAAATACGTGTTGATTTTCATAATAAAACGATCTGTTGCCTGGCCCTTGTCTTCTGTTGTTACATTTGGTGTCGCTGCCTACCGAAAATGAAAAGCCTATACCCTGCAGTTTTTGATGGAGACATATGGATCTTCGGGCAGGACTTCAAGGCTTCTGCGCAGTTGAGTGGCGTTCAAGATCTGTCAGCGATGGAGCTGCTACTTGAGACGCTGCTGGGAGGTCGGGCGAAAGCAGCATATGAAGGTGTGGGCCGAAGTATGGACGAATGTTCGACAGGGTCAGGCAAACAGTTTCCAAAGTGGGAAGGACCATATATGGTCACTTCGAGATGGGGTTACGCAGACACAGTCGCAATGGCGAACAATAAGAGGCGCGTGAACGTCAGCGAGCTCCAGAAATGGATACAGCGAGACAAGCCAACGATGACGCCTGCACCAAGTAGATCAAGCCGACTTCAGTCGCACGTATTTGACGGGGGGACGAGTGTGGTGAGAGCAGGCTGCTAGCCGATTGGTTGGCACTAATCTACGTTAAGGTCTAGGTCACTAATATGGGCCGTGAACAAGCCTGAGTCAACAACCAATCACAGCAAAGTTAACGTGGCAAAATATGATTCGCAGAGAGAACTCTATTTGTCAAGGAATCCCGAAACAACCAATCAGAAGCCTGCGTTTGTCTACCTAAACAACCAATCAGATGACTGCGCTTGTCTATAATAATGTAGTTGAAAGATGTATAAATACGTGTTGATTTTCATAATAAAACGATCTGTTGCCTGGCCCTTGTCTTCTGTTGTTACATTAGTAGGGTATAGATCCTCTTTATCTCCGTACCTTTCTTCTAGTACCTTGTGTGCAGATGGTACATTGCAGGCAACCGTTAATTTCACCTTATTATCTTCCAAAACAGGGAACACTATATCGGACAACGATAACTACTTGACGACTGAGCATCTTGGCTTCACCAAGTTTCAGGCTGGGGGTAATATACGTAGTTGCAACCTTAATGGATTCCTTCATTACCCAGGAGTCTAACCTAAACGAGACTTGTTCACACACATTCACACGTTATCCTATCCGAAGAATTGAATGTATTCATTACTAAGGGAACGCTGAACCAATATGAAGAGTCTAGATGACAAGAGCTTTGCGGACGATTTATGTGAAGTGCCACACAAACTCGAAGAAATACTGCCTAAGACAAACAAGTAAGAAGAAGAGACAAATAGGAAAAACAGGACTTCTAATGAAGATAGAGAAGAGAGGGGATAAAGGTAACCAACCAGAAGTGACAACAATCAACAAAGCAATCACTACTAACGCGATAAACCTTATTCACTATGAAATTAGTTTGGAAATCTCCTGAAATCAGTCAGCATAAAGATCAAGATTCACATTTTCAACACTGATGTGAAGTTAGTGCTACTCTATACGTAAGATGTTTGGCGGGCCTTTCATGAAAAGGATTTCCTACAGGTTAACGCAGACTTCCACTTACAGCCACCTTCAATTCATATCGAAGATCAAATTGCAAAAAAGAACCAAGAACAGGTCATTCCGAAGACAAATCAACCAAGAACTTACTGCTCGACAATATAACGAAGGAATTGTAGATAGATCGGACACACAATCAAGAAACTGCTGGGTGAAATTACGAACCAGGCTGCGAATAATATTGGTAATAATAATAATGATAATAACGAGGGATCTGTTATAATTAGACACAGCAGAATAGTGATTTCATTCTTTCCAAAGTATCATGATTCAATCACAAACACAAGTAAACTAAAAATTAAACTCACCATTTAAAACCCAATGCTCTAATCAATACAGTACTGAGTAAAGGTCCTGAAAATATAAGATAAAGAAATAATCTAGTTATTATATATTACTGAAAAAAAACTGCATAAAAATACTTTCATTGATTGTGTCTGTATACTTCTCTAAGTATATCCTACTTCTAGTTAAGGGTAACTTCGATAAATCAGGTTCTCAAGTGGAAGACTACTTCGCAATTATGTTAATTAATTCACAATTAACGCAGTTAGAGGAGGTGATTATTTCACTGAAGTATCCCTTTGGGAAAAGAAAATTAATCAGCTCGGAAAATATGTGATACGATACATGGTAATTATGAAATCCAGAGTGTGATGCATCAAACCATTTAAGAAGAGTATTTGTCTTACCAACCACACCAATTAGCATCACTTGTTAATCTGATTCGTTTATCATCTGCCTGGCATTATGTAACCAAGACTGAAAGCGTAAACAATAGCCAGAAATCGAGTCATTTAAACTGATCCGGCTCTCTGAGATACGTCGGATAAGGTACGCCATTGATGAGCTCAGTCCTGAACAGCAGAGACGGCCGTTCGATGTTAAGATCACTTCGCTTTGGCTAGGTGGCTTGTTGGCTGGCAATTACTTTTGATTCATGTGAGTAATAATAATAACAGCTTTATTTCAAACAGTAATTATAGTACAGGTATGGAATTTTCACCGCACATTACAATATATTGCATCTAATTACCTCATAAATTTTATAACATTTTAAAATCAAAAAGTAACACCCCAAAAAAAGAAGATAAATAAATAAAAGAACAGCGTTGCGTTTACATTTTCAACAATGCAGCACAGGATATGAAATATAAAATTAGTGTGTAATAGAAGATGTGAACAACAGTGTAATAATAACAAGGAAAGGAAAACAAAAACTAATGGGACTATTCGTTTGAGAGCCGCAGTAAGTTGGTCGTGTCATACCTAACGGATTTCTCATCACCACATAACAGCTGTGCCAGATATGGTATTGTGGAGTTTTTGTACTTGGTAGTCCTAGCATATAGTCTCCTAGAGCTGCTTCTTGTTCTACCAGATGAAATGCAAGGAGACAGCTGCGTATAGAGAGGATGCTCGGGGTCTGACAATATTGTATTCGCTAGTTTCTTACATGACATTATATGTGTATCCACAATGGTGTTAACCATTTGGTTTAACGATATCCCACTTGCCCTACTAAAGGCTTTCAGTGCCTGCCCTTATCAGCAAAACAAAGTCTTTCTTAAGTAGTCCAGGAAAGACTAATGGGGAGCAGTAAATAGGGATGGGTAGAATACAAGAATTGAAAAACTGAGAAAGCAAAGACTGCTTTATGCCAGACTGCCTAAATTTCCTAGTGTAGAACGTTAAGCTAAACATCTTTCTAGTAACTAGTAAGATGTAGGAGGACCAGGAAAGACCAGTGGAAAAACTCTAAGGTACTTGACATTAGATGTGTTTTCAACCTCTATGCCGTCAATGATAGTGGGGCCATGTGAGCTGGCTAGTTGTTGTAGGTCATGTTTACGTCTGAAAGTGAAATTGACTACCTGAGATTTAGACGGATTTAGCTTAAGACCGTTTGAAGAGGACGACTGACTAATTTCCAACAGAAAGTTATTGAGTTTCGAACAATCTGACTGAGAGTTGACAGGCATAGAAACAGAGAGGTCATCAGCATACTTAACAAAAGTGGCTACATCAGAATGAGACAAGTCATGTAAGAAAAACGAAAACAGAAAGGGAGAAAGAACAGCACCTTGAGGAACACCAGCTAAAGCAAGTGAAGTAGTGGAGAGATTTCCATTGTAGACGGTGTACTGCTTCCTATCAAGAAAAATAGGAATGCAACCACTTATTTGTCCAGCTCTCAGCCTGAGCTGCAGCCAGCTTACTAAGCAAGAGAGACCTGGCAACAGAGTCAAATGCAGATGTTTAATCAAGGAAGGCACAGCGAACGCATTTAGCTCCTTTATCTAAACTAGAGACTATATTATGATGTGGGACACCAGCAGCATCTAAGGTACACCTACTATGTTTATGAGCAAACTGGTTGGGGTCATTGAAAGGCTTTAAAGAGGGTTCAAGATTAAGTAAAGTAGGTCTTTCCATAACTTTCAAAAAAGGTGAGGTAATAGCAATGGGTCTATAATTAACAGTAGGTCCACTTGTTGATTTAGGCACTGGAACAATCTTGATATTTTTCCGTGAGTCAGGTATAATACTTTTAGAAGAAGATTCGTTGAAAATGTCAGTTAATGGGGAACGTAAGATGTTAGCACACTTCTTAAGGATAACAGCAGGAACACCATCAGGACCAAGTGACTGAGCAGGTTTGAGAGATTGAAGACACTTAAGAACATCATTTGTATTAAAGCATGAGAAGCAGTCATTATTTACACTATTAGAGTTAGGAATCATAACATCTGCAGGGATACATATGAAGGATTTATTAAGCATGTCAACATCGACAGAAGTATCACTCATTATTTTCTTGGTAATTAGGAAATCCAGAGTGTTATGCATCAAACCACTTATAACACTGAGTGATTAAGTAGAGTATTTGTCTTACCAACCACACCAATTAGCATCACTTGTTAATCTGATTCGTTTATCATCTGCCTGGCATTATGTAACCAAGACTGAAGGCGTACACAATAGCCAGAAATCCAGTCGTTTGAACTGGTACGGCTCTCCGAGATACGTCGGACCAAGTAAATCTTTCGTGAGCCCAGCCTTGGACAGCAGAGACGGCCGTTCGATGTTCAGATCACTTCGTTTTGCCTAGCTAGCTCTCTTACTGGCTGGCAAGTACTCATGACTGATGTGAATGATACGCCAGTACTTATTTCAAAGAATCAGTAGTATATAGTTTTATTCATATAGGTAACTTCATTGTTAAAATTAGACAAGTTATGATATCCGTAATGAATTCAAAAACCTTCATACTTTAGAACTTCCCGCATAATTGAGAAGAAAATTATTCACTATCCATCATGAAAGGGAACAGCGTAGATTTTATTTTATCCCTGTACGTTCCCAGTGGAACACTGGACCTCGAGTTGGAGTTTTTTGAAGTTTCCGTAGCAGTACTATTTATTTTTATAGGATGTGATTGCTAGCCTCATGCACCCTCAAACGTCTCTCTCTGTACCAGTATTTTCGCTGGCTTAGTGAAGTACAGGAGTGCGTAGGCGGTGAACGGTCTAACCCCGAACCACCTGCTTGGTTGGCGAGCATTCTGCAGCTGTGCTACCGACACACAAAATAGCATAGAAGTTCTGAATAATTTGAATCTGACTGCGATGTCATCAAAAAGCTATGCAGAGCACTAAATTCGATAAGGAGTGAATAATAACAATAACGCTCGCCAACGATGCATGTGGTCCGGGGTTTGATTCCACGCCACCGACGCACTCCTTTACCTCGTTAAGCCAGTAACAAGGCTGACAAAGATGGAAGGCTGAGCATGAGGCTAGCACCGTAATCCTGTGAAATAATAATCACCAGTGCCACAGAAATTTCAAGCCTCTAATGTGAAGCCCTATGTTCCACCTGAGAACGAAAAGTAATGAAAAAAATAACAATAAAAATACTCGAGTGAAGATGTACAAGGACGTAACCATCAATTACCTCTCTAAAAATGAATAAAACAACCACAATAAGGATTAACCTACCGGCTACAAATCCACAACAGAAGGCGATATCAGCGATAGCATAAACACTTCCGTATACACCGACATGTCTTAAATCGACTAAATAACCCATAATTGGCATCATGGATGAGTCAATCATACCTTGATTGAAATATAGACAGAGAAAAAACATGAAATAGACGACATACTGTGACAAAATAAAAAAAAATGTTTAGAGATAGAGAACTTAATACTGTTTTCTTTTCCCTACTCTCAGGGGAACAACACCCAGGAGTCTATTCCCCATGGAGCAAGACTGAGCAAAAACTGTTTTGTTTGTGAGGACTTCACCCGTGCTGCCTACTTTCTGCTATTGTACTAAACGCACACTCTTACTGAGCTCTTGTTCTCCTTCTATTCCCGGTGTGACTGTTACTCATTGTGTTACAATACATTTGGATTCGAACTTTTCATTTACGGAAATTATTCTTTGAAATGTTGGTATCTAGGAATTAGTTTTATTTAAATTTTATCGTGAATGGAGACAGATGAGGAAAAAATTATGTACTGTCCTACTTCAAGAAGAGCAAATAATAACTAAGCTTGGTTTGGACATATTTAATAACTAAGCTTCTTGCCAAAATGATGTCAACACCGTACAATATGATTTGCGGGAAACATTCCTCACATTCTATTGGTTTGATCCAGTTGATTGTGACTTTGTGATAGATAATCCAGAGATATTCACCTAGAAGAGATTGTTCATTAGAACCCGGTTAGATGTGATAGACTGACGATGCTACCCATTCTCTCAGGCTTAGGTAGATGCAGCAGGACTCTGAATCCTAATTCACTGATTGAAATTCAACTGTTTAAGCTGGTGAACCTTATTTTTTGTGAATCGAATCCGCTTTACCCAGTGCTGCATTCGAGTATGTTGAAAATGAGGATGTCTGCTCTTTCTGACTATTATTCACATGATGGGGTTTTGTTACGCAATCTACACCAGAATTAGTCGAAGTCTTACAAAACTTAAACATTGTAATGTGATTCTGTAGCCGGTGGAGTGGTCGAGCCTTCTAAGACACAGGTTCTAAGTACCTGTCTGAAAGGGTGTGCGTTCAACCTCCGCTAACAGCAAGTGCTTTTGAAAGATAATCATCACAGTGAGCTTAGTCTCACTTTTGAGCACAGCGCAAATGTTCAGTTTATTCCTAACCGCCTCCAAGGTTGTATTAATAGAAATATTAGTATATAGACTGGTTATGTCAAACCTAATCATTTTAGTCCTTTACCAATTAGATCAGTTTTGACGTAACCAGTTGGTATACTAATATTCCCATTAATACAGCCTTAGAGGCAGTCAGAAATGAACTGAACATTGATTCTGAACTCAAAAGTAGGACTAAGCTCCCAGCCAACGCACATCTTTACCTCTCTAAGCCAGAAATAATTCTGGTAAAGAGTAAAGGTTGGACATGAGGCTAGCAACCCCATCCTGTAAAATAAACTCTGCTACAGAAACTCCAAGCCACTAGCTTGAAGCCCTATGTTCCACTGGGGAACGTGAAGGAGAAAAAAAAATAATTGGGTGACGAGACAAAGAGGTTAATCACTGAAGCTTTGTTTATATATATTCAATACTGCACATATGCAATCGGAACGACTCAATGCTGTCTATACTGCAGATATGATAAGTGACAACAAACAACAAAGGAAAGCTGGAAAGACAGATAGAGAGAAAATGAATACAAGACAAATTGTGAAACCATGCGCCTAAAATTGATATGTCTATGAGTGGCAATAATTTAGGGTCTAAAACTTGTAATCCAGTTGTTAATACTACATCATCGCCGTGTGATAATTGGAATTAACTTATCTGATATGGAATTAGCTTCTACCAAAGTGCCAAAGTTCCACAATTACATTAAGAAAGAGGGATTCATATCTCTAACATTTATTGATTTCACTTATCAGGTAGATATATTGGGGATGTGAAGATATTAGATACTCCTTCGGCATAATACTGGTTTACGCAGATCAGATGCTGAACTTATTAGATTTGATGCCTCCCAAACTGCGTTTCCTCAACAAGCAAGACAATTTGAATCAATCAGATAACGAATCTAACGTAAGTCAAATAAACAGAACTTGGCCTTGATATGTTAATTGATCTAGATGGTGTTTTTAGGAAACATCTATGATACTGCGTATAGTACTTAGCGAGCTTCTAGAATGCTCAATGAGCGAAAAGTACTCATCTTTACCGATGATAATGATAGTGGATTTTGCTGTATCATATCTTGTGGTGAATATATTTCAGCTTACACAACTTGAGGAACAAGTGAAAGAACATGAGGTTATCTCCCTCAAATGATCGAAGACTAATTCATGTATTCAAATTACAGTCGTGATAATTTTATGGCTCCAGACATTTCACTCATTATATCATCTTTGATTAAATACAAATGTTGATATCCTCCCTGATATGTATCCACATGACATGCGTTTTGTTTTTGACAGTCTGTTATATTTTGCTATGTGTATATGGATCGATATTTTATTATAACTGACAATATGCTTTTGTCTGTCACCTAACTAAATAAATAATGTATGACCTTGTTGTCACATGACATTACAACCAATCATGGTAAGATGTTATCTCATTGGCTCACGTGTATTAGCCATTTTCATATATACTCTTGCTTTATTATTCTTGTTCACTTTCTTGTTTCCCACGTTTGTACATCTAAGTACCCTTCCACTCACACAATTGGGTGACATTTATTTTCCTTGTCTTGAAAATACAAATATCATCGTAAACCTCGTGGTCTTCTGATTTCCCTCTTTCCGCGTCAGAAGTATTAACCACTCAACGAGTACATAACATAATTGGCGACGGGGAGAACTCTAATAACTCACCCAGCAGCAGTACACAACACCCCCTTACTTCTGCATTCCCAGCGAGTGATCGTGTTCTCAGTAAGACTCAGGTCTTCACCCACAGTTTCAAACACTGAAGTACTGCTAGTAACCATCAGGCAAAATATAATCAAGTTGATCCTCAAACATCCTGAAAGCATCCGCACCAGGGGCCGACACGTCAGCAGACACCGAGCATTTGAATCCGACATAATTTCTCAATTAGAAATGCAAAATAGAAATAAAAATATAACTCTAATTCTTCACGTTGTCTATAGCTGATAGGATGCTGACAACTGCATTCAGACGGTACAAGTATAAAACTTGGGCACTGTGGTAGAGTATAAATGCATTATGGATAAGATTTTATTTTTATAAATAACACAGTGTTTGTTATACAGTAATATTAACTGATGACTTTTCGAGCACAAATTAATACTGCTCATAATCATATCAAGTCACTCACACAAATTCATTTATACGGATGTTTGGAGTTCACTAGATATTTCAATAAAAACCAATATGAGATAATTTACATTCAGAAATAATACTAAGAATGTTATTGATCAATTACAATGCGATGGGAAATAAGACGAGTGTTTTTTATAGTCAAAATAAGTAACTTGTTAGAATTTTGTGATGTACGTGAATTGAAATAGAACTTTGAGATTATTTATTATCCTCCTCTGATTTGACTGACTGACCTGGTGGTAATAATATCTTCCATATTTCTGGTATTTGCTTTGAGTCATTTCTGTTTCATGTGTTGGGTGTGGACTCGATGAACAAGAATTCCGTAATCGACCTCTCTCTCCACCTACCTATATTACTTCTTAGAATTTTGACTCTCTCCCACCACCCTATTTTGTGTGGTTGTTTGTTAATGCGTGAAGTGCAACTGCTGAGCTTTTTTTTTAAAATTATTTATCTTTTCAGGATCAACTATTCTTCCCTTACTATTCTTCCCTTAGCTAAATGCTTATATCCTGATAATCTAACTACCCCCAGCCTACTAGTTTGACCTATGTAGTTGACCTCAGAGTCATTGCAGGGTATTTTCTAAATTATATTAATTTGTCTAATTGGATCAACCGGGTCCTTCAACCTACAGAGCTTGTCCTAACTCAGTGAGTGAAGGAAATCCGTTGTGTAAGTAAGTTGATATGATTATGAGCAGTATTAATTTGTGCTCGAAACTTGGTCATCAGTTAATATTACCGTATAACAACACTGTGTGATTTATCAAAATAAAATCTTATCTATAATACAGTTGTATTCAGACAGGTTCGTTTGTATCCTACTTCATGTGTTACTGCTATCAATTCGTTCACATTTTTTGTAAAGGAAATCCCATTAAGAAATTTTGGAGGACTTCTCACTTTGTAGTGTATGAAATCTGCTCATTTCTTAAATTTAGCTTACTAACATGAGTGTCAACTCATAGAGATATAGCATCAATTATGCAAACAGTGAACAATAACACTCACCAATAGCAAATCCAAGGCAGAACATTGGAGCGATCAAGTGTTCAATTCTTGTTGAAAATGGCAGCTATAATAAATTTAAAACCAGAAAAGCACATAAACAAATAAAGAAATATGTGAATTCTAGGGTAAAAGAACATTTTAAATCATCTGTGATACGAGATATGCCATAAAGTCAGTCTATGACAGAAGAGATTTTGGTATGTTTTGAAAGCCTTTCAGCCTCCTAGGTTGGATATCATTCAAGATTTAAACAGAGTTGATGGGGTGCGTCTTTCATACGACTAATTTTTGCTTTCTTGTGGCTGTAAGTAGAGATGGCACAGACAATGACTCCTAGTGTAAAACAGAAGACAAGGGCCAGGCAACAGATTGTTTATTAAGGAAATCAACATGTATTTATATATTTTCATGTACATTATTACAGATTATTCAAGCAGACAAACACAGTCTTCTGATCGGTGGTTGTTTCTCACTGAAAGTTAATCTTTCATCTCTTTTTGGCTGTTTCTTGAATGTCAGATCATCTATATATTAATTGTGTCCGCCTACGCAAAGTCTGATGTTGTTGGTTGTTGAATCAATCTTTGTTCATATTTTCTCATGACCAATATTCGGGACATAAACATTGACGTAAATTACTGTCTACCATATTGGCTAGCAGCCTGCACTCACCACACTAGCACTCTATGTTTCAAGGGTTGAACAGGTTAAGATCATAATATCGTCTCAATGACATCAGCTTTACATTGTTCTTTGAACATTTATCTGAGGGACTCAAAATTCCAATGTTTTCTCCGGTAAGGATTTACCTTAAAATATCCTAAATTTTATTAAGGGCTACGCAGTTCAACATAAGTGAATCAGAAAAACTTTAGTTTGATACTCTTCATCAATACGCACCCCCCACACCACGGGGTTCAAACCCAGGACCTTCTGGTTACAAGGATGGCGAGCTCGTAGACCATTGAGTCCTGGGTTCGAAACCCGGTGGGTGAGTACTGATGAAGAGTCCTGAACTAAGCGGATGAAACGGCTGTCCAGTACTCTCAGGTTTACCAGTGGTTCTCTAACTGATGCCAGCTCATGATGAAATCATCCATTCAATCAAACAAAATCCCTACAAAACCGGTACTTGTAAAAGTTTAGTGACATTCTTTGTAAGCTAAACTTGTATTCAGAAGTAGACATACAAAATTCTACGGAGAATCAAAGCCAGAACCGTCTAGGTACGCTGCTATTTAGTTGACCACTTAACCACTAGTGCGTCTATAGTTCAGTGGTAGAGTTCTCACCATTCATGCAGGTGATACAGGTTAAATTTCTTACCGATCCACTCCTAAACCTCTCTAAGCCAGCAGTAAATAAGGTAAGAAGGGGACGATTCCCTATATGGCCAACAACTCCAACAGATGAGACTTCATAGCTCAAACCTGAAGGCCTATACTCCACTTGGATCACAAATCAATGACACAAACAAAAACAATCTTCATGTTAGAACTTACGCCGATTAAACTGGCACCACAAATTAGTAAACCTAGACCAGCACTGTTTCCTCGACCAATTCTATGCGATATCGGTCCAAATATATTTGCACCGATTAAGTAAGATACACTAGCGGCGAGAAATAAAACACCTTGTTCCCATTCTTCAGAATTCATTTGTATTTTCATCCATAGTGGTAGAGTTGGTTCAAGAATAGCCATACCCAAGTTTCCGAATGTAATGGTACCTTTATGCGGGATAAAATAAAAATTGTAATAGAAATAATTAACTTTATTCCATGAAGTGAATATAAATCTATTATGGATAAGATTTTATTTTGATAAATCACACAGTGTTACAACTACAGTCATATTAACTGATGACCACATTTCCAGCACAAACTATTACCGCTCATAATCATATCAGATTACTCACACAACTTTTTTTCTTTCGTTTATATACATGTGTAGGATTGACTAGATATTTAAATAAAAATCAATATAGGATAATGTACATTCAGAAATAATAATAATAATAATATGAGTGTTATTGATCAAATCGAGATTTTGAACGAACAACAATCAAATCCCTACAAACCAACACTTGAATACCAATGAGATGCTCACTGGCGACTGGCCCTATTCAGGTAGGTAGTTACCTGGGTTCCAGTGGGAAGTCGTGACCAGTAGGGTGCAGCTGGTCGGGTGTGAGGACAAATACTCGCCACCGAAGACATTGGCTAGCGGTCACGCTATGTCGTGAATTGGCAGAAGTTAGAATTCAAGGACCATTGGATCGGATCCCAGTGGCTTAATGGTATACGAGCTAGCTCGCCTTGTAACCGGAAGGTCCTGGGTTCGAATATTGGCGGTGGGTGCGTCCTGCTGAAGAGTCCCGAACTAGGACGAAACAGTTGTCCAGTACTCCCAGGTTTTCCAATGGTTCTCTAACTAATGTCAGCTCATGATGAAATCCTGAAAAAAAATTGTGGTTTCGATAACTTCTTCTCCTTCAGACTCTACAGGTATAAATCCATGCATGAATAATAGAGTACACATAGCCAGCCAATAAAGGCAAATGAAAGTAATAATATCAGAAACTGTATTGGGGTGCATGTGTAAGTTGAGATGATAGTCCATTAGTTAGCATAGTCAGTCAATTAAATGTGTAGTGTAGGGTGTTTAGTCAGGAAAATGTGATGAAGCGTGAATGAATAATTGGGTGCTATAAAAGTGTTTTATAGTTAACAGAATACAAATGTCTTTGGGGTGAGAGAAATGCGATAACCACAAAATATGTGTAAAAACACGTTAACAAAGGGGACACTGAATGTGAGGGTGACCGATAATGTCTAATGATAAAATAAATAAAAAGGCTAAATTGTAAATTGTAACAAAATGCTACAAAATTGGTAGGCTCAGTATAAAATCATAAAGGCTGACAATAATTAAGGGTAACAATGAGGTGAAATAAACTGTGGGGAAATGGATAATAAAGACATGATATCACAAAGTGATAATAATGATAATAATAGTATGAAAAATTATGATCCTGGTGACTTTATAGTGGGCCAGGGTAGACAAAAAGAGTAAATAAATTTTTTCTGTACACATAAGTTTGGTCTCTCTCTATTAATCTCTAAAGCCTCAGCTATGGCTAGGAGGCGTAATCGTGTGCCTTTGGGGAGATTGTTCGGTACTCGATACACAACTGTAAATGACTCATCTACTGTGATGCTGGGTTCGCTATCCACGAGACAGAATTGCACTATTTAATGATTTGGTTGCTCTTTTCCTAAGCCAAACAGGAATATGTTCACGAGTGCGTAAAGATAAATTCTTTTGAGTACGACCTACATAACTAGCTCAACAGGAGCATTTGAATTTATATACACACACTGATATCGCCATTTCGGGTAAACTATCTTGAATGCTCGGTGTCAATATCGGTTTTGTTGAGAAACTGACATGCAGGTTTGCGGCATTAAAAGTTCTTTCAATTGATCTCGTTAATCTACGGTTTAATATATCGCTGGCTATATCGCCTTTGAATTGTACATTTAAGTAAAGCCTTTTCTTACTTACTGTGTCTCGCTTGGTTTTATATGTATTTTCGTAGATATACTTCTTAACAAAGTTGGTAGGGTAGTCATTTTGTAGCAAGGAGTTTGTAAGATTTCTTATTTCATCTTCAATACAATCCTCGGTAAATATGCGTCTAATTCTATGACTAAGACAGCGAATTAGGTTGCGCTTATATTGTATAGGTACGAAGCTATGCAAGTGGGTGTTCCATGTCGCTTTCTATAAATGTTTCTTTTCAAGGTATCGTCTATTCTTTTTGTTCATTCACACTTCATCACATTTTTCTGACTAAACACCCTATACTACACATTTAATTGACTGACTATGCTAACTAATGGACTATCATCTCAACTTACACATGCACCCCAACACAGTTTCTGATATTATTTTTCCCATTTGCCTTTATTGGCTATATGTGCGTCGGTGGCACAGTGGTTAGGACTCTCACCAACCATGCACATGGTCCGAAGTTCAAGCCCACGCCGACGCACATCCGATATCTATGACTGGCCTGCGAATTTTGGGCTACCGATATCCACACTGAAAATTCCATACTTGTACCAAAAATACGGTGTGGAATCAAGATGTAATCAAAAAATAAATAAAAAATAAAATTATTCATGCATGGATTTATAACTGTAGAGCCTGAAGGAGAATAAGTTATCGAAACCACAATTGTTCGCTCAAAATCTTGTTTTGATTTCAATATGGGGATTTTTCATATACTGTTATTGATCGAATACAATCATGGATAATCCCCATCCAGGCATACAAAAGAAGATTAGTCAACCACTTCTATTGTAATGGTAACAACTTTTTTTGATTCCGATGACTTAATTTTGTTTCTTTGTCTGTTCTTTCATTGCTTATAATTCTTGTATTCCTTTAGAACTCTTACGTAATTTTGTATTATCTACTTTGTTCCTATGTGCATCCTCAGTAAAACTCACTCATCAAAATATTCGTATAATTACATAACTTCTTTTTTAACAACTATTTATGACAATTCATCACCTTTGTTACTACCATCATTTTACTGACTGATTTTGTATAACGTAACTCCAGTTACCAATCTTCACCTGTTTAGTCAAAATAACCATAACCAATTGTAATTTTGTTTGATATAAGAATAAAACTTGTGCACTGTGGTAGAGTGTAATTCCATTATGGGTAAATTTTGTTTTGATAAAGTTTCACAGTGTTATACAGTAATGTTTACTGATGACGTTTCGAGCACAATTTATTGCTCATAATCATATCAAGGTAATCACACGACTTCCTAAATTCATTTATATAGTTCAATTGTTTTTCTCTTGATTTTCACTTCATTTGATTGGTAATAGTATTTTCCATATTTCAGGTATGAGTGACGAGTCATTCCTATTGCATGTGTTGGGTGTAGACTCGATGAACAAGGATTCAGTAATCAAACCTCTCTCTCCACCTACCTAGATTACTTTTTAGAATTTTAACCCTCTCCAACCACCCTATTGTGTGGTTGTGTGTTAGCGCATGCATTGCAATTGCTGAGCTTTTTTCTAAATTATTTATCTTCTCGGGGTCAACCATTCTTACCTTAGCTAAATGCTTATGCTCTGATAATCTAACTACCCCTGACCTACTAGTTTGACCTATGTAGTTGACCTCAGAGTCATTGCAGGGTATTTTGTAAATAATATTAATTTGTCTAATTGGATCAACTGGGTCCTTTAACCTACAGAGCTTGTCCTTGAGTGAGTTTGTAGGTTTAAATGCCACCCTAATTCCTATTTTATTCAGAATCCTACGTAGTGTCTCAGATGTCCCCTCTTTATATGGTATAACTGCGAATGACTTATATTCTTTCTTATTTATGTTATTAATTTTGTTTGACAGACTTAATTTACACATATATACAAAATAACACATAGCTAAGAAAATGAATTCGCCGCCGAAAAGGGACTCGTCGCTGAACTGTGTGTTTTGTTTTCAACCCCAGTCAGATGGGAAATAAGACAAATGTTTTGATAGTCATAATAAGTAACTCGTTAGAATGTTGTAATGTGCTTGAACTGAAATAGAATTTCGAGAATAATTATTATCCTCTTCTGATTTGACTGGTGGTAATAACATATTCCAACACAAGCAACAGAAATGACTCAACGCAAATACAAAAATATGGAAGATATTATCACCACCAGTCAGTCAAATCAGGGAAGGATAATAAATAATCTCAAAATTCTATTTCAACTCAAGTACATCTCAACATTCTAACAAGTTACTTATTTTGACTACAAAAAACACTCGTCTTATTTCCCATCTGATTCTATTTGATCATATTACTATCCAAAATTGATTTTTATCCAAATATTTAGTCAATTTCACACATGTTTATAAATGAAGGGAAAATGTTGTGTGAGCAGTGACTTGATATGATTATGAGCCGGAATAGTTTGTGCTCGAAACTTGGTCATCAGTTAATATTACTGTATACCACTCCACTGCGTGACATATCAAAATAAAATCTTATCCATAATGGAGTTATACTGTACCCCAGTGCCCAAGTTTTATACTTAAATCAAGTGAATGCATAGTAAAATCAAGTGAAAATGTTTATGACAATGTAATAATGATAGGAATAAACAATGACCGTTGACTGAAAGTTCCTCAGTAAGTTGTTAATTTCCTGCCTTACAAACCTTTCTCATTACATAAAATGTGTCCCGGCTAAATAAGGTATTGTAGAGTTTTTTTGTACTCAGACATGAAGCCTTCTATAGTTGCTTCTAGTCCCCTTACCTGATTAGATAGATGCAAAGGAGGGAGGTGGGAATGGAGAGGATGTTCAGAGTCTGACAGGATCATATTTGCCAATTTCTCGCAGGAATCTGAGTATCCATCTACAGTAGTATAAACGAGTTATTTCAGCAACGCCCCACACTACTGCTCTTCACAGTATTTCTTGAGTAGCCCAAGAAATACTAAGGTGGAGAGCAGTAAAGGAGTATAGACAGAATACAAGAATTAAGAAAATGTAATAGTAGAAACGAAATGATACGAAATAGTCGTAATTTCTTTTCGTAGAATGCCAAACAAAATATCTTCTCTGGAAACTAACATGATGTGGGGAGACCAGGAGAGGTAATCATAGGAAATACACAGTTGAAGGTATTTAACATTTGATCTAGCTTCAACTTCTGGGTCATCTATGATAGTAGAACCGTGCAAACTGACCAGTTCATGTCAGTTGCGCTTGAGTGTCTGACATTTGGAGGGATTAGGCTTAAGACCATTTGAAAATGACCACTAACAAATTTCTGATAAGAAGTCATTCATTTCAGAACTGTTTAACTCAGAAGAGCCAGACATAAAAACAGTCAGATCATTGGTACACTTAGTAAAATTGGCTACGCAGGATGGATCAAGTTTTTCAGGAAGAAAGATAGCAGAAAAGGAGTATGAAATGCACCTTGAGCAATACCAACCGGAATGATTATAATCAAAGCAAAATGTTTATAAACGGAAAAATGGGATATATATGCAGTGCCTTAAATGATTAGAAGTTTATTCCTACAACAACCTATGTATGGAGATATAGCTTATTAGCCCTTTCCACTTAGTCCAGTCTCAGCAGGAGATCTCAATCATCAACAATTTTGTGATAAGTAATCATCCTGGACAGAATCAAACACACCACCCTGGATGAAAAACTTTGACCGGAACAAGCTGGATTCAGGAGAAACAAGTCATGTATTGAATAAATCGCCATTCTACGAATCATGATTGACCAAGGTTGGAATGACAGTCACCTCTCTATCTCGCTCAACTCAATCGACTTTGAAAAGGCCTTCGACAGTGTCGATCGGGAGGTCATTTGGCAGCTACTTCGCTACTACGGAGTCCCATCGACAATTATACATCTCATCCAACAGTTATACGACAATGCGGCATGCCAAGTAATCCACAACGGGAAACTAACGGAAGCCTTCGAAGTGAGGACTGTAGTGAGGGAAGCTGGCTGTCTACTATCGCCAATGATCTTCCTGATTCCAGTAGATTGGATAATGCGACAGACAGCGGGCCGAGCAATGAGGAAACAGGCATAAAATGGACTCACAGAAAACGCTTGGAGGATCTGGACTTCGACGATGATATATGTCTGATTTCTCACAGACTGCAAGATATGCAAGTGAAAAGCAGCAAGTTGGCAGAAGAAGCATCAAACATAGGAAGGACTTCAGGTGAACATAGATAAAACAGAGGTGATGAAGATTCCTGGCCAACAGTGACAGTAGTAACAACAAACAACAATCAGCATAAATGGGGAAATCTGAAAGAATCAACCTCCTTCACCTATCAACCGATCTGGGAAGCTTCGTTTCAACTACAGGCCTAGGAAACTGAGGAGTGTATCAAAAGTGAGGATCAGGAAAGCAAGACAAGGTTTCAATACTCTTAAGTCTGGTGTGGAGGTCAACAGCACTCAGCATAAAAATACATCAAGATTTTTAACTCCAATGTGAAGTCAGTGCTACTATACGGATCAGAGACTTGGCGCGTCATAAAGAGCATCTCAAACAAACTTCAGACATTCATTAACAGTTGTATTCGCTCAATACTCAAGATCAGGTGGCCATAAAAGATCAGCAACAAAGATGGATCTCTGAAAGCGAACCAACCAAGAACAGATTGGGCAACAAATAGGCAGGAAGAAATGGAGATGGATTGGCCATACTCTAAGGAAACCATCAAGTGACATCACTAGACAAGTCATCGCTCAAGTGGAACCCAAAAGGGAAGCGGCGAGTTGGTCGTCAGTTCAAGGGTGACTTGGAGGAGGTCATGTGAAGAGGAAATGAATGCATGCGGACAGACTTGAATCGGAGTGAAAATGTTGGCAGAAAACCGAAGGCAATGGAGACACGTGGTTAAAGCCCTACGTTCCTCTAGGAATTAAAGGATATAATAATAATAAATAATCATGTTATGCCTGTTCATGAGTAGGAATGAACAAACTAATTCTTATACATGTCTCAGTCTTGTAAAAGGCACATTATCTTATGAAAATTGCGAAATTTATCAGAAATGCGTCTTCCTTGGCTCTGACGCCTAATACCAGATAACTATTCTTATAACAGCTTATTTGAAATCCTGTTTAAATCTTATTCATAATCTTAAGTAGAAAAATGCTTCTATTTCTCCATTACTGAAGGGGGCTGACGTGACAGACTGCTCTTTAGGATGCTGACAACTCTATACATTGGAACAGCAGAAGACAATGACCAGGCAACGGATCGCTTATTGAAGATTCAAGAGATATTTATAGATTTTCACGTGCATTATTATTAGCATTATTGTTAGCAGAGAAGCAAAGTATCTTGTTGTTTGTTTTCCTGCTGAAGGTTATTCTGTACTGCTTGTGTCCGTTTCTTTGAAAGTTAAGCCATATATCTGTGAGTCATATTTGCCCACATTAAGTCTGATGTGATTGGTTGATGAGTTCCATAAAGTTAAGCTTTGTTATTGTTTTTTCTCATGACCCCGATTCGGGAAGCAAACATTGGCGTATAATGTTGTCTATAATTTTGGCTTTCAGACACCACAATATTACTAGTAAACGAAATTATCTCAGTCACACTGTTTTGGTACAATCACTCTAGACGGGTGCATGTACGTGTTTCTTGTGCTCCTGAAGATGTAGCTTCTTAAGCCCAGTAGATATGGCACTATATTCTCATAGTCATAACATTCCATGCTGCTGGCATCAGCGTGCTATTTAAAGCAACTGACGTTCATAAATGCATCTTCGTAATAAAAATATGAGGCTACAAGTTTTATCCATCTCCAAGATTTCTAATTAGTGGTCTTCGAAATTTCCATCAAACTATTCGAGTTGGAGAAATGTTTCCCATAGATAATACTGTAAACTATTGGCGCCACGTTCCAAAGTGGATTATTATTATTATTATATCCTTTAGTTCCTAGAGGAACATAGGGCTTCAGCTGCGCACCTCCATTGCCTTCGGTTTTCTGACAACTTTTTCACCCTGCTCCAGGTCTGTCCACATGCTTTCATCTCCTCCTCGCATGACCTCCTCCAAGTCACCCTTGGACGACCAACTCGCCGCCTCCCTTTCGGGTTCCACTCGAGGGCTTGTCTAGTGATGTCACTTGATGGTTTCCTCAGAGTATGGCCAGCCAATCCATCTCCATTTCTTTCTGCCTATTTGTTTCACAATCGGTTCCTGATTGGTTCGCTCCCAAAATTCATGGACTGTACATAGTATGATCCCTAGTGATCCGACGCGTGAATGCCGCCGAAAAGTCATACGTTACCGAGCGTTTGTAAGGGAATTTAGCAATTTGGTGGCGACTGAATTCAGTCAGTCATTTTTGAGCTAGGTGACTTGCCTCTTCTGAACACTTTGAATAGATGGTGGTTTATTGAAAGTGATAGGCAGGAAGCCCCTTGCTTTCTGAAAGTGTGAGAGCTTGTACGTCTGGCGGAGAGGATCGAAATGAAACCAAGTTGGTGCTCTGATTTCTACTGCTAGCCATTTCTAAATAAATACCTTCGAATTACTGATCTTAGTTATATCGAAGCATTCAATTGATGGTCCCTTTTGTAAGGTAATGGAACTAATCAAAATGGCATATTAATAAGTGATATTTATACATTTATCAAGAAATTAAACGAGATTCTTTATGCTATTCATTGAAAATTCAGTACTTACCGGCTGCAATAAGAATATAAGGATCTATTAATAGGTTTATCAGTGATGAACCTTCTCGAACTTCTCGTTTAATAGTTGGTTTCAGCGTTATTAGTTGAAGAACTGAAATGGTTTTATAAATATGGCGTTTGGAATAAGGATGGTTGATATTTTAAAGAAAAATGATTTTCAAATATCCCCTGAAATAAAAGCATGGGTCACCTTATGTAAGAATTAACACTAACCCTGGTATAGAAATGAATAAAGGAGAATTCCAGTTGATGTGCAATGATTTCGGCGTGGTTGTGTTAAGTTTGAACTCTCTTCAGATTAAAATTATAGCTGAAAATGTTGCCAAGGGAGAGCTTCTGCAGTTGTTATTATATTATAATTTCCTTTAATTCCTTAAGGGAACATAGGGCTTCAGCGCCACACGTCTCCATTGCGTTCGGTTCTCTACCAACGTTTTCATCCCGCTCCAAGTCTGCCCACCCGCTTTCATCTTCTCTTCACATCACCTCCTCCAAGCCACCTTTGCACAACCAACTCTCCGCTTCCTCTTCGGGTTCCAGTCGAGCGATGGCTTGGTGTGTGATGTCACTTGATGGTTTGTTTTCTCAGAGTATGGCGAATACACCCCCATTCCTTTTTGCATATTTGTTGCACAATCGGTTCCTGCTGGATCGTTCGCTCATTGCCATAGATCCCTGTTGCTGCTCTTTCCTGGCTGGCCATCTTATCTTGAGTAGTATTCAGCAAAGACAGCTGCTGATGAAGGTCTGTAGTTTGTTTGAGATTCTCCTTATGATACGTCAAGTCTCTGATCCGTACAGTAGCATTGACTGACTTCACATTGTAGTTGAAATTCCGAATCTTATTTCTCATTCTGAGTACTGAGTGCTGTTGATCTTCACACAAACTTGAGAGTAATGAAAGAGTGACTTGCTTTCCCGATCCTCGCTGCTTTGATATCCTCGTCAGTTCCGTCCGCCTGTAGTTGAAACGATGCTTCCCAGGTAGGTAAAGGAGGTTGTTTCTTTCAGGTTCCTCCCATTTATGCTGACTGTTGTCTGTTGTTGTTGCTATTGTTGTTGGCCATGAATCTTCATCACCTCTGTTTTCTCCATGTTTACTTGGAGTCCTATCTTTGATGCTTTTTCTGCTAACTTGTTGGTGAGCTTCAGCAATAAATCACCCAATTCAAAGAACACAAATACACTTATAACTTGAAATTAGTTTTATTCGCTGAGCCTTCATAGTAGTTCTAGACAACTTGCGCTGAAGATGCTGTCCAGAAGGACGACGAAAGCTTCGCAAATAAACCACCATTTAGCTGAGCGAACACAACTAATCCCAGATTATCCACCTTAGTTACAAATATTCTCCATCATTTCAACACCGATAACTAATAAACGTTTATTTTAACTCGCCTTTATTTTTATAAAATCTTATAAATCTTTTTCGTATCGATTGACGAAGCGTAAGCGGAACTACAGATAGAATAGCACTTTATCGAAGACTTATATTTATATACGTGAACAAGGAGTGATGGTGTATAATAGTATACTAATCGGACGGAAAGAACCGTTCGAATAGTGTTTCGCAATAAGTAAGGAAGTAACTTCGTGTTTAAAGCTGTTTTCTTCACACACACAAAATGACTGCTAAATGAGGTATAACTTCTATAAATATGGTTGTAAATGAACATGGACATTGAACATTGGTTTATTGATCTTGATCGCCATTGGCGAGCAACTCAAAGGCGCGAATGATTCAGTTGCGTACAAGTTGGAAGAAGACGGAAGAATACGAATAAAAGTACAATACATTCCTTGTAAAACATTTGTTTATAGACTTTGTCACGAAATCGAATTTAACTGCCGAAGAATATAATCTCTTATTGGTTCTTGTGTTTTGGAGTTAAAGTCAATAATTGTTCACAGTAATAATCGATTCAGAGCGTATTTGCAAATGATAGGCACTTAGGGGTTAAGTTCCTCATTTTCTGGAGTGCCTTCTAGAACTCTTTTGAAGAGTACTTACTCGGTCTGACGCCAGCATCTTTGGACACGGATTATCGCAACACGGTTTGGATCTTTTCATAACGTTGGATGATGCCTGGGCCAAAGAAGGGACGTGGCCCTTTGGAAGCAGACAAAAAGTAAGTAATGTTGAGTTGCCTGTTATTTGTGATGATGTCCATTTTTTGCCTGAATTCAAGTATATGTCTACAACAAGTTGCTTAATACGTAAATCATTCAATCCATGGACAAACTCTTAGTGTCCTGAACAATTAGAGAAAAAGGTTAGGAAAGTTTGCGCATACTTTATAAGGAAGAATTAGCAGAATGCGAAAGTACAGTCTGAGCTGCACTGAGCATTTTAACTGTTTTATGTAGAGTGTTAGACGAAATAATTCTGTAGAAGGAAGGATGAGAGGAAAGACTTAACGCTCTCGACATTTGTTTCGGCTTCGACGCTCTCTGTATTACAAAAGTCATGGAAACAAATGATTTCACATCGGTCCCAGTTATGTGAAAAAGCTAAGAGTCTGATATCTGGAGGGGATTAAATGCAGGCAAATTCAATGAAGCCAAGTGATTGTGGTATTCATTCTGGAACAAACGAATTAATAAATCAAAGGTCCCTACCGTAAGAATGACATAAGCTAAGCATGAAGAATGGCCAAAAGAAGAAAAAAGAAAGAACATCCCCCGGGAGAGAGAAACATCTTTGAACGTAAGACATGTTCTAGCATCTACCTCATAGTTTATTAGGAAAAAATTCACAAGGAATATTTATAACGTATCTGAATGAATATTATGATTAGGCTATGAAACAACCAGTAACTCACGTCCATCAAACATTATCAAAGCAGCTAGTATGAGAAATGGAGCTTCTTTACTGATAAACTGGAATGTTACACCTCCAAACGGTGGTCCAACTACATAAAAAGAAGGTAAATGAAATCACAAAAGGAACCAGTATAACAATAATAATAATAGTCTGTTATACTAAAGAACAGTATTGGTCATTTTCGGGACTTTGTTAGATTGCTTGAAGGATTTGATCATGAGCTGAAATCAGTTAGAGAACTACTGGAAAACCAGCTGGTAGTACTGTACAGGCGCTTTGTCCGCCTAGTTTGGGGCTCTTCAGCGGTAAGCACCCACATCGCGGGGTTCGAACCGAGGACCTTCAGGTTACAAGGCAAGCTCGTAGACCCAGCACATGAATTCTAACTTTTGACAATTTATCAATTGGCGCGACCACTATGCAATGTCTTCTTCGATAAGTTACTGCCTCATTTTCAACCTGCAGCACCCTACTGTTTCTCTAACTGATATCAGCTCATGATGAAATCGTCCAACCAATTAAAGAAGTGTATGTTTATAATTATTTGGTGAAAAGATTAATTATGGTCTATACGAAGCTCCATTGTGGAACACATGATTTACTTTGCACACCAAATGATTCCTACCTCAGAGCTATACATCTACGCAGTACTACAGAAAACCTTGCAAAATATGTACTAATCAAATTTCTTCAAACCGTAGAGATCTCTGCTATCCGTACGCTAAATTATGAATCTTGCATATATAGAAAAGATTGACCTAGAGCCAGTGAACTTAAAATGCACTTGGTTTGTCAACAAATTTCACGCGTAATAAGTTTGCCTTTTTCTCCCTTCACACTACTATACTCCTTACACTTTGTGTCACAGATCTTGACTCAACCCTAGTTCAATTTAGACTGAATTTTATCTAGTGAAGAAGCAGTCACATTTTACTTGAAACATGCTTGGAAACATTGATTTTAGTGCTAAGCCGATGTATTATTATATAGGTATATAAATGTGGTTGTTCATATTGAGAATTCACGTTACTGTAAAGAGTATCTCTCCGCTGAATACCTCTTCTTGATATTCTCTGATGCAGGTTTTACAAGTTAATTGATTGATTTAGAAAGTAGTGTTCACTGGTCAGATTTGTGAAACAGCTAGGGGCTTACTCTGGAGTGTACACTTTATTATACCACTAAACTGTTGAATAAGCCTAATGATAAATGTAGGTTGTCCTGCTGTAATGCACAGGACCGCTGAGACAGTAACAGAATACAATCGATATTACGTAACAGTCTTCTTGAATTTCTCACAAGAGATTATGTTAGGCCAGCCAGTGATGTTAAGAGAAATACCTGCCAGATATATTGGCTGACATTTTGCAATTTACCGTGGGAAGTGGAAGAAGTCACAATTATCATTTAGGTAGTCTGCGGAGTATCGGTTGGAGTACCATTGGAAAACCAGAGAAAAATGCAAGACGTTTTTTTCTCGTTTTAGGTTCCTTATCAGCAAACAGCCATTTAATTTCGAACCCAGAACCCTTTGGTTACAAGGCGAGCTCGTAGACCATTCACTCAATGGGACCCAATCCAGTGACCGGTGGATTTCAACTCCAGAGAATCCGAAACATTTACCGCAACCAAGCTAGAATCCGTGGGCCATTGGAATACGTTCCAGTGGTTTAGTGATGAATGAGCTCACCACTGTAACCTGAAAATCCTGGGCTCAGTCCGTAATGATTGGGACCACGGCTGAGTAATGCTGAAGAGTCCAAAACCATGACAAGACAGCTATTCCGCAATTCCTGGTCTCCAACAGTTTTCTAACCACTGTCAATTTGTGATCAATCTTGATGACATTATGTGAAATCTAATCCTTATGCTGACAGTTCACTGCGCTTATATTATTTTATTTTTTTTTAGTTTTGATTACAGCTTGATTCCACACTGTATTTTTGGTACAAGTATGGAATTTTCAGCGTGGATATCGGTAGCCCAAATTTGCAGGCCGACCACAGATATCAGGTGTGCATCGGCGTGGGCTCGAACCTCGGACCATATGCACGATCGGCGAGAGTCCTAACCACTGTGCCACCGACGCACAATAATAATAATGATATCACCGTTATGTTTGATGCTAATATCTTCTCGATGTTACTAAATCCTACTCATATTCTCTGTTCTCCGACTTTTCCAAAGACATGCAAGTTATTGCTAAAAATACCACAATTTGAGCCAGTTCCTCACTGAAGTACGTCTCAGTTTCAGGTACAATTCACAACAAATTAAATACACGGAAACAATGTCTTTGAATTCGGCTCTCAGTAGACTGCTTCTGAGTGAATAATACATTCATCCTTGCCGTAATAAAGTTATTATCTGTAAGGTCTCTGGATACATTGGATTCAGGAAAAGGCTGTCACGTGGTAATGCTTAGTATTATAATCGAATAGTGCCTTGAACAACAGTCGACTGCTTACATCAAATTCATCGAGGCTGGATAGCCTTTCAACAGCGTTGACAGCAAATTCATCTGAAAGCAGTGCCCTAAATCCTTATAAAACTCACTCAAAAGCTATATGATGATGCCACACGTCAAGTAGTCGACAGCGTATAACTCATTGGACCCTTTGGAAGGACTAATATCCTGAATCGTAACACTAATGTTGACCCAGTTAGTAATTCTTTATAGATGACAGTTTTTGCACATGCGTCGCTCAAAGCTTTCCCTATAGCCTAATGTCGACTTTCGCCAGCAGCTACCTTTTCTACATACTGAAAATATGCAATCCCTAAAGACTAGCAATGAAGAACTCTGGCAGCGAAACAACCAAAGAACTACCAATAAAAATGAAGATGAATCGGATGCACACTGGAAAGGCTATTGAGTGATATCACAGGCCGGGCTCTAGAGTGAAACCTAGATGGAATACGGTGAGTTAAGCATTTGTTCGAGGATAACATGGGAGAGATTTCGTGAGGACGAGATGCAAGTACATGGGAACTCGTGTAGCGAACTAAACAAGACGACAAATAACAAGATGAAACGTGGACATGCTGTTGAAGCCCTGTGTTCCATTTGGAACCCATAGGAATACTGCTACTGCTAATAATAATAATAGCATTCGTAAGGTTAATTTGAAAACTGTACAGCAAAATGCATGCACACTACATGTGACATATTCATTCGATATAATACAAACATTGACAGTGATGACAAAGTATTGATAACTGGATTACTCTGGGAGTAAAATAACATTAATATATCCAGACAACTTGTGTTGTTCTGTATAGCGTTCTGATTGTCTCTTGCTGCCTATGAATGTCATTTTCCACTGACACCAGGTAACTTCTGCATTGTCCACATGGTTATCATGTGGTATCGGGTCGGTGAAGAAAGATTTTAAATAGAATCTCTCTGTCTACTTGACTAGATTACGTCTTAATATTTTCACTGTATGGTATGTAATTCCATATTAGTTTTTTTATTAGATATACCACACAGGGAAACATCAGTATTGTTTAATGGATAACATTTCGAGCGCAATCTAGTACTGTTCATAACCATATCATCAATTATAATCACACGACTTCGAGACTTGAGTTTCATAGTTTTCTTTGTTCTCTCCTCACTTAGATCTTCCTTGGTACTACTTAGTTTTTGTGCTCTTTTACTTATCACTTTGATTAAAACAGTACAAAAACTAAGTAGTACCTAGGAAAATCAAAGACAGGAAGTGAGGCGTGTAAGAGAAGCTTTGAAACTTAATAATTATCCTGATAAATTAGTCAGAAAATATGTAGGAAAATGTAAAAATAAATAGTGTTAGTAGTGATAGTGATAATAATAATGATAGTAATATTAATGACTACGTGTATGTCAAACATGCACAAGACAACACCAACAATAAGGAATCTAAATCATCAGTAGTAATTCCATAAAAGGAAGGAACTTCGGAAACCACCTTACGCAGAATTTTTAACAAGGCAGAAATAAAGGTGGCTGGCATTCAAACCACCCACAAACTCAATTAGAAACAAGCTTGTTGGTTAAATGTTGAATCCTGTGAAGCCAACAAAATAAAACAATTTAGTTTGTCTAATGCCCTGCTTGAATGATTGTCATGTTAAACACAGAGGTGAAAGTAGTAGAACGATTGCAGTGAGACTAGCCGAGCATAAAAACGTAGCGAAATGTAGATTAGTTGACCCGAATGAGATAAGATATCTGAAGAATAATAGTTCAGCCGTAGCATTACATACAATTACACACAACCATACAATAGGGTGGGATAAGATGACGGTTTTAAAATTTAATGTAACAGCAAGGTGGAAGGAGAGATTGAGATAACATAAGCTTTGTGTTATGGAATCAACTGCATACACGTGTTGTAGGATTTATTTAGCACCTGTCCACTCAGATATATGGAAACTTCTACTACCCCTACGACGACAAGTGAGAGAAGACAATGAAAACTATAAAAGACAAGTTTCGAAGTCGTGTGATTATAATTGATGATATGATTATGAACAGTAAATTTTGTTCGAAACTGCGTCACCAGTAAATAATACTGTTTCACAGTGTGATACACCTAATAAACAAACTAATATGGAATTACTTACTGCCACAGTGCCCACGTTTTACACATGTACTGTATTGTGTGGTTTAACTTAAATATCTAAACCAGAAAGTCTGTCTTTCATTCACTTGGTTGGTTTTAAAACCAGCTGAATTTCAGATAACCATAAGAATGTGCGTACCAACTTAGCTGAAATGCACTTCGATTTGTGCCATGATACAAAAATCCGCGTCGTTCTGAAAACAATATATATATATATATATCAAGGCAAAATTGTATTCAAATAATTTTCCCTAATAAAATTCGAGTATCCTTCAAAATTCCTTTAAAACAGGTCGTCTTTTGATCCAGTGATCAAGCAAGCCTAGAATGAATTCAACACAAGTTAACCTTCTAATTAAAAAAAATCAATAAAATATAATTAAATGACCTTAGCAATAACTGCTTAATCGCCTCATCAAACCATAACGCTGAGTGAGCAGTCATGTAGACTTGCGTGTGTGCATTGATTTGAGTGCAC